CCACCGTCTACATTCACTATATATATTACTTATTTTCTGTTATTGTATATTATGATTTATGAATATATTACTAAGCGCTAAATTGTCACAGTTCTTTTTCCTTTTTTCATTGGTCTTATTACTGTGCCCATTCTTGTAACTATTCTCTGACAAAGAAGTCTTGGCACATCAGAGACAGACGGGTAAGCTGACAGGAGAAGACAGAGGCTGCTTCCTTGGCTGGGGAGTCATGAAGTCACACCTTCTGTGCTACCTACAGGTGTGACCTCATGCTTCCCCACAAAGTGGGCGGCATTCACACCAGGCCACAGTTTTTGGGCAAAGGTGTCAGCAAGCTGTCAAGTTTTGTTTTATTCTTTCTGTGTGTGCGCTTGTCTGCTTTCACTTGCATATGTAGAACTGTTGATGCGCATAATTGCTTAGCCTGCCGAAACGTCTATATCTCTCAAGGCCACAGGTGGTTGCCGCTGCTTGTTAGTTTCTGGAGGCTCTCACGAAGCACCGTGAGAAAGAGATAACATATGCTGCCTAGAAGCGTTTGCTCCCAGGTTCGATGGCACGCGCGGGAAACCCCGCAATTGGGCCTCAGTAGTTTGAATGTACTATAACATGCCATGCCCTTTGCTCACCCTTCATTCTGAACAGTGGTTTTATCCATGCACCTATAGCTTCAAATAAAGTAAAACCTTTCCACAAGTGTGTACAAGTGTGTACTGTGTTGATGCTGTGGGAAGTCTGACAAAAGGTTAACAAAGAAGTCTTGGCAATCAGAGACAGACGTATGTTGAGGTAAGCTGACATGAGACAGAGAGGCTGCTTGCTTTGACAGATGCATGAAGTGCTACACCTTTATTGCTACCTACAGGTGGCACTTCATGCATCTGACGAAGTGGGCTGCCTTACACCAAGCCATGGTTTCTCGGGAGATAATAGCTTTTAGAATTTTTTGGTATTTTTTGGACGTAAACTGACAGGAGACAGAGGCTGTGCTTGCTTCGGTTAATGCATGAGGCATCATGTCTTTCTTTGCTAAGTAGGTGACACTTCATGCACCTGACGAAGTGGGCTGCTTTCACACCAAACCATAGTTTTGGGGCAAATGAGATGTTAGCTGACACTTAGCTGGATGCTCGAAGAGCTACATTCTGTGCTAATGTGATGTGACACTTCGGGCGTCTTGATGCAGGGGGCAGCGTTACACCGTGATGGGTTTTGGGCAAATTATTGTTTAGAGTGGGGGGGGGGGGCAAATCTTTTTTAGCCCAAAGCAGGCTAGGCTAGTAGTCATCTCTTCTGGGCATGGAGCAGGGGTCACTGCTGGGGTGTGGAGGGGGAGGTATTTGTGAATTTTTCTGCCTTGTGCAGGGGGTTGGACTAGATGACCCCAGAGGTCCCTTCCAATTCTGTGATTCCATGACTTTGGCCGCAGAGATGTCAGGGAGAGACTTATTTGTTGCGAGGGCTTGTTGGCACAGGTTGTGCACTAGTTCTGCTGCTGTTCCCTGAACAGGAGTCCGACTCCCAAATCTTTTTCAGCCTCTGGGCACCTGTGGATTTCCAAACCAGGCTAGGCAAGTAGCCGCCTTCTGGGCATGGGGGAGGGGCCTCTGGGGTGAGGTAGTTGTGTGAATTTCCTGCATTGTAGGGAACTGGGACCCACCCTCAGCCCTGGGAGACTGAGCAGCCAGCCGTTCTGTGGCTCAGGACGTTTTCGCCTGCCCCTGTCTGGTGGGGTGGGGCTATTTTCCTTCCTTAGTTGTTGCCACCACTCACTGGATTCACACCACCTTCCTAGAGGGACAGTGAGACCCCTCTGGATGACTCCCCAACTCGGGAAAGTGGGTATCTCAATCATTGGGCACCCCCTGGAGAGTTGGCAACAACTCTGATTTGGGCCCATTTGGGTTCCGCTGGCCTCCCTTTGCCTCTCTTAATGTGCTGAGTGGGGAATCGCACACCCCTAGCTGATTGCTCACTTGCACAGGTCCTGCCCCCCCCTTCGGTTTATATGCTGCAGAAATCCTCTGGTTTGACCTGAGTCCAGTTGGGTTTGGGCAGTGACTGGCACAGGTTGTTGCCCCCCCCCAACCTGTGCTCTGGTTCTGCTGCTGGGCATGGCTGGCAATGCAAACATGCTCCCTATGTAGGCTGCTGCTGCTGCAGAGAGAGAGATTGTCTGGTCCTGTTGGTTTTGGGCACTGCCTGGCACATTGGCACAGGTTGTGGTGGGCGGGCAGATTGCTCTGGTTCTGCTGCTGGGCCTGGCTGGCAATGCAAACATGCTCCCTCACTCTATGTAGCTAGCTGCTGCAGAGAGATTCTCTGGTTTGAACTAAGTTCTGTTGGTTGGGGTTCTAGGTACTGCCTGGCACATTGGCACAGGTTGTGGGGGGGCAGATTGCTATGGTTCTGCTGCTGGGCCTGGCTGGCATCGGCAATGCACAATCATGCTCCCTCCGTCTATGTAGGCTGCTGCTGCAGAGATTCTCTGGTTTGAACCATGTTCTGTTGGTTTTGGGGTTTGGGGCACTGACTGGCACCTTGGCACAGGTTGTGGGGGGGCAGATCGCTATGGTTCTGCTGGCAATGCGAACATGCTCCCCCAAACAGGTTGCCCCCATCCCTCCATTGTTCTCTCTATGGTGGGAAAGTTACTTTTTTCCCACCATAGAGAACAATGGAGGGATGGGGCAACCTGTTTG